GTACAAGTGATTCTGTAGGCCTGTTGTGTCCTCCCTAGTTATTATCTTTCTGGGCTGGATGGAGTCCTAGCACACCAACCTGTTCTTTCCATGTTCCCTATACTGCATTTCTTATCTGGAATCATCTCCATTGCCTTTCTCAGAGCTCTTCTCAAATCTTTTGCATTGAAAACTAAGATAAGAGAAAAATCACTAAAGAGAAAATACCTAAACAGGACATCAGTATATTTTTGTGTTCTCGCTACATATCCTCTCTTCCCTGCGACAACAGAAAATTCAGATATGTAATTTTGTCTTCTAGAAGAAGACACATTCCAGTGAAAAAACAGATGCCTTTACTCCCCCCATTAGCTGGCTCAAAAAAATAAAAAAAATAAAAAACACTAAAGCAAATACAGGAAATATTAAGTACAAAATACTAATCAAAACATTTTGCCTAAGTTATTGCATAAGTTGCTGCATACTTCAGGGAGCTATGAGCCTCTGTTGTCGCAGAGGGATGAATGGAAGTTTAAAGTTCACAAAGATCTGCAGGACTGGGCCACAAATCATAAATTACTCCATTGTAAAGAAGCTGCAGTATAATTCTTTTGAGAGAGAGAAATCAAAATGTGCAACTGCAAACATCAAAGTTCATTCAAAAGATTTCTGTCCTCCACGGTCCCAGTGGTAGCTTTTCTGACAAAGCTTATTCTCCCTGCAGTTACACCCATCAAGTTTTTGTGGAGTTGCTCTTTAAGGAAGACAGACGAAAAAAAGTCTTGTTAAAAACAAATGAAAGAATATTTCACAACAGAAGAATAAGAGTTAACAGCTAGGAGGGTGGGAATACTTTAAATCATTTGTGATGCTACAAGACTGTAACATGGAATATACCCTATGAACATCTTCTACGTTTCATATTGTATAGTGACAGTGAACACTCGTAAGGAAAATGCGAGGTCAGAACAGTTTGGAACCATCATGATTTATTGTATATTTTTGTTAGTTTACAGGAGCCAAAGAAACAGTTTCATGAGCAACAGGACAAATGAAATGCATTTTCTTATGAAATGGAGCCTTATCCATTTTTTAAATATTTAATAAGCTGTGAACTTTGACTCTGGATCTTTGTAAGGCTGAACTATTCATAATAGCACTTTCACTTCTTTCAGTTTGTCATTTCAGTAAGCTTATCGGATGTTAATGGCTGATAAATGTAACGTCTAAGATTCTTACCAGTTTGTAAAGTTCAATCACATTTAGGGAAAGTAATTGGAGGAAAAAGATGGACAGGCGAACAGACAGAGACGGAAAACACGATCACAGTTAGCCCAATTTTCTTATAAAAACACAATAATACAAAAAAATGCAGATAAAATCAATCTGTGATCTCTCTGTGCCATGTGACAGCATGCTGTCTAATTATTTTCACTGCAGAATAGACTACAATAAAAAGATCTGAAATCAGAGCAAAAATGTTCCACAATCAAGCCAAGAAAAACAAGAAGGATGCTAGAGAAGGAATGAGAAAAAATCTGAAAATGACTTGTAGGGTAAACATAGTGAGCCTTCTCCCTGAATAGGGGGAAGGAGGAGGTCTGTACAAGGATATCTCCTTCCTTCCTCCCATTTCTAAGGTAGAGATTTCTACCAGCCATATTTGCTTTACACATCTTCCTTTATATTTACTCTGTGCACGTGTAAACTTTGCCTTCTTCCTTAATTTTCACAGTCCTGCCTTTGTCATGCTCCTATATTTACCATCTCTACTTGGATCTCTTTTTGAGCAGCAATTATTTAATTCTTATTGCTCTTATTCAGAAAGAACTACTTTCTGTGGAACATGAAAAACCAGGCTTTGCTTTTAGGCTGTTTAGGACTACAGCCTTTCTGTATTTAAGTAAGCATCACGACACACTAAGATGCTTGGCACCATCACTAGAAACAACCATGCATTACTGAGCAGCGCAATTGCTGTGAACTGAAAACGTACGGCATACATATACACACATAAACAACAGTTCTAATTTTAAAGCTTATACAATTATAAAGTGAAGTAGATGCTTTTTTCAAAATTCACTAATACAGGGCCTATTATTATTATTGGTTGACTTATGTTCATTGAAAATAGTGCAAGCAAACCACGTGGTCAATGCCCGATTTTGTCCATGCAGATTGGATGCAGGCAAAGTTAAATCTTCATAAACCTACCTCATCTAAAGTTTCTCTTAAAAAATAAAAGAAATCAAAATCAAACACGTTTGGACATCAATTAAACACAGGAAACTGAGAGTTTATACCAAAGCCTATGTCCAAAGACTAAATTAAAGCTTACTTTGGCAAATTGTTCATACTGGCCATTTGGGAGGGGTGGGGAAATTGTTCAGACAGAAGAAAGAATAGGAAGAACTTGCTTGTCTTGGCTACTTTCTCTCATTTTTCCATTCTTTCTTTCTTTCTTCTCCTATGTGTAACACCCACAGATTTCCTAATGGGATGGTATGCGACCCACCACATACTGCTGTGTGGGTGTAACTTAAATGAAAAAGAAATGTAAATTAACAAGTAACACGCACGGATATTTACATTCTGTGCCACCAAACTGAAAGGTGGTATTAAATAATTTTAACATTAAACATAATAAAATATTAATATTTAAAAGAAATTGTGGTAGCTGAAAAAAATCTCAAAATATTAACGGTAGCCAATTTAACAGTCTGCTCTACAGATCTAGAAAGCAGAACCAGATCTGCTAATCCAAGTAAGGTAGCTTGGTTTCTATTTCTGAGGAAAATCATAATATAACATGCTTTGATAGTAAGCTTTCAGGCTTAATATTGGTCTAACAATTCTGGTTCTAATAACTTTTGAATATATCCTGCAACGTGGAGAACAAACTATTTAAAATTGATCTGAAACAATGCAAGTTCAAACAAGAGTGGGGTGCTCAGCTGTGATACTTGAAGCAGTAAATAACCAACTAATACACATCTTAGTGCTTGCCACACATCCCCCCTTCCTTGCCGCAGCAGTGAATCTCTACACCCAGGCTTGCATGACTTGGAACAAAAGAAAACCGTTCAGTTTGAAGAACTCAAACACTTTTTAAAACCTCCAAATACAACAGTAACTGCAAGCTTCAACATTTATTTCACCAGCAGCAGCTACAGAACGCATATGTAATTAGCCACATATCGAGCTTGAACATTTCTTTGCATACTACAAAACACTGTCAAGATGAACATTGGCCGGCTATCTTGCACTTCCTCTGTTTGGGAAAAAAAAAAAAACAAAAATATATCTTTGTACCCCACAAACAGAAACTGTGAACCTAGAGAGGAAGGTAACAGACCAGAGTTTCTGAAGCCACATTTGAGTGATGATAACTGACAGAGTTAAACATGGCTCACCTAAAAGGGTCAGACCCTCAGAGGTAGGTCCCTGTTGCTCTGGTGAACACCCACCTACTATTCTGTTATTTCCTTCTCAGGTAAGAATAGACTTGAATGTAACGTGAATAAACTTGATTCTTGGACGTGAACAAAGCACACCTTTCTTACAAATTACAGCCCTGAGCAAAGCAGGCTGAGGGAAGAGGAAAGAGATTTGGAAATTAAGTTCAACATGAATGTTCGTTATCACAGACTGTTTTCTTTCTTTATTTTTCCTTTTTTTTTTTTTTAGCGTTAATTAATGATGGCAAGATTAACTGCAGAAAACTCAGGGAACAGTAATTCTGCCTCATCCAAAGTAAATATTCTTTAATCTAAAACTGTCACAGATATTACTGATGACCTTAAGCTCTTCATTTTCAGGAAATAAGGAAAAGAATCAGGCAGAAGATCAGTTCACAACTGTGGGACAGTATACAAGTATTTTGACTGAAAAGTTCGTGCTATACAAGAAAATACAGAACCTTAAAATCTCAAGAACTCCCTCAAATTAGTGCATATGTCTGCATATATAAAAACAATCAGCCTGTCTGGCAGTTTTATCTTACAAAATCATTGTTTTTGAAAACATACTTTTTACTGAGACAGGAAACTTAAAAAATAAACAATGAAATATCACTCAGTAAAAGAAAATACAGAAAACCTCAAAAAATCTTCTCAGAACTTCCGATCTCACCCTTTGTAATGGCCTGCTTTCACTATAAGAAAATTCTATTTGTTCATTTGGAACTAGAAACACACAGGGACTCTTTACTGTCACAAGTTTATAATATGCTCCAGACTGGTAATAAACAAAAGTCATTATTTCCTAAGAAGTGTTTAAAAAAAAGATTGATTTTGAGGTGTAACACTAGGTAAGCCTATCATCTGTAAAACCCACCACAATGACAAAAACAGCTAGCAAAATAACATAAAACAAACACTGGCAAGGCATTAGGTCCTAACATAAGAACACAAGTTAGAGTAATCACTATTTTTAGATGTGAAATGTATGTACTGAAATTGCATGTTTTAGTCTCACCACCCTTACACACACAAATCCAACAACATTCTTGCAGTTGGGTGAATATTCTTACAACTGTTTTGTTTTTTTTTTTTTTCCTGCACAGTAATCATTCCCTCCAAAGCATTCCAAGGTCACATAAATCTGCAGGAACACAGATCAATTGACAAATGCCGTTTATCACATCATAGCAACTTTTTATGAACTAATATATTGCAAGAGGAAAGAGAAGGAAAAATATTATTTCTAAAATAAGAAGTGTTCAAGTAAATGCCCAACTTCACAAAACAGATTTCCATTAGTTTTACAAGACCCAGGATTATACCATTTATTCTGCTTAATGACAGCCCTTCATACTAATAGTACAAGTGGTATGTTATTTTTTAAATGATGTATAGAAAAATTAAAACCTACTGAGTTTTAACATAGTCGAAGTTACTTTACACCCCCCAAAAAAAGATATTTTGGCTTTATTATATTTCCTGATTGCAAGTTTTTCATGAAAAAAATAATGAACAACAGTTTCCACCGTATTTTACTATAAAATATATCACTGATTTTACCTGTAATAAACAAAGGAGCAGATGATGCATGTTCCATTGATTTCCACTGACCACGTTGTTTAGGCGCTTCCAGGTAGTGCTTGACCCTTGAAGCAACAACCTCTTCCAGGAGCGTGCAGACCTCCTGAAAGAGTAACCATTTGCCTAGTCACATCTAAGCTTCCAAAAATGCCCACAGACACATAACAGAAATCAGTATGAAATCACTCAAATACAAAACCTAAAAACATTATCTGCAGTCAGATACTGAGGTATTAAATAGAGTTGAGAAGCAGATAATTAAGGAAATGCATTGGAATGAAAGAAAAAAAAATAATCAAACAATCTTGCTATATATTCTGAATAATAAGAGAGGAAATACATTTTTATTCAGATAAGAGCACATGATACAATGTCAATTATTTATAGAAAGCTGTTAATGTTCTTACTAGGCAGATGAAATACATTATGACGGTAAAATAATATTCATTTTTGAACAGCAAATTAAATTCACTTGCATGTGAAGTAGGAAAAAATACATAAGTGTATGATAACATTAGAAATCTAAGAAAAATATTAGTAAAAATACTGCCACCAATTGTTAGCATAGACTGTGAGAATCCTTATAAACCACAACAGATATTTCAGTTCAATTCAGTGTAAATTTGGAAGGAAAGACCTAGAGCTAACTTGGTCACAGTAATGTAATTTCTCCAATACATTTTGATTTTTCTCTTCCTAACCACAATCATTCATATCTTTCATGTTTCCTTCAGCAAAGGAAAACAAAAAAACATATACAACTCAGAAAGAAGAAATCTTTCACCCAAGTTACTCTTCACCCAGAAAAACCATAGAAAAAAAAAAAAACACACCTTGAAATAAAAGCAAAAAATTACTCTCTCAAATACTAGGAAAAAACAACAACAACAAAAAAAAACACAGATTTAGACATCCACACAGTTGAGCCTTTTTCTTCAGTGTTCTCATTTTTATTTGTGTGCAACTACGTGCTCAAAGAAATTGTACTTTGTGGCATACAAAGATATTTTACCTTTTTATAGTGTTTGGAAAACAGACAAAATTATATTAGTACCATCTAAAATAAAATATGTTGGCTTGAAATTTATTTTTGATTAATCTAGAAAGTATGCAGAGCAACAGCATTTTTAACATACTGCTCTAAATGAAAGCAACATTCATATATTGGTCAACCACAAACAGTATTTTCTCCTTACAGTTTGAAATACTTTTTCCTTTCTGCTTGAAAAATACAATTATAAAATACAGTATCTACTTATTCTTCTGTTTAACTCATTAAAGCGATCTCATTACACATTCCTTAAGCAGGACTATGCATTCAGGTCAGAATGAAAAAGTCTAGAAAGCAGCGGAAATAGTTTGTATTTGGTTCCTTCTGCAACAAAAAGATGAGCATGCGCTTCCTTAATTTACATGAAAAACATTTATTCTAGTTATGCTTCTGGAAATATTACTTAAATGGCTCTCCACAAGGAACTACATTGACTTATATTTTAAGAAGTATAAACAGGAGCAGTTTTCAAGACAATCCTCTCTTGGTTATTTTCCACCGCTAAAAAGAACTCGTGACTTAGACCTTCTGCATGCATATGGAGAGATCATAGCAGTGATGTGAAGGGAAATCTGTCTAAAAAAAAGAAACGTTTCTTGAAGTACAAAGCTAAAACTTTGACTGATATTCCACAGGAAAAGAAGGAGGACATAAAGGGCAGGGAAATTAGAAAGGGCAGGAGAACAGAGAGACAGAAAAGCTCTGCAAGCACCTCAGATTATCGATTTGCACCCAGCAGTGTTTGCACTTGGCAGTCCCAGAGTGACTCCACAAACACCATGCGTGACAGCAGCGTGCAGGCTGTGGTCTGTGGAACGCCCAGCCAGACAGCGTGCACCACGTCTTCTTACACCACCCTCGCGCATACAGGCCCTCCTGCAGTTCCCAGGCTGCTCTACTCAAGTCCTGCTCCAGCAGGAGCTGGCATGAGAGGCCAGCACCGCTCCCTCCCTCCAGCCCAAATCACAGGGCTGGCAGAGGCATGCCCAGCCCTTTTCTGCAGCACCCAAGTTACATCCTTCCACCCAGCCCCGTATCCCGTAAAGGGCAGCCGTCAGAAGTCGTGTTTGTGTTACAGGGGGCCTAAGAGGCACAGTTTGCCTCGTTTTCCCCACAGTTCATCAGACAGGCAGCCAAACCAGGCTGTACTACCTTTAGTGAGCTTTGTTGTTTCCAAAGTCTGGAAATTAAAAAATAAAAATAAACATTGACATGAGAATTTGAAAGATCTCAAAAACAAAAAAAAGCCTATATAGACATAATCTGACCTTTTCCTTCCCAGTCTAACAAACACTCAGTATAAGACTTTCAGTGAGCAAACTGTGAAGCTATTGGAATCACACCTCTTGGTTGCTGAAAATATGCAGCCTTCATACTTTGCTCAAAATATGCAGTCGCAGAAATGTAATGAATGCTGCCCTGTCATGCCTCTTTATTAAATCAATCATGACCTAATTTCCTGAAATTCATATCTTTTGTTTTGGCAATCATACAGAATACGTTTTGAAAACACATAAAAGTCATAACCAAGATAGTAAAACTGGTTATAAATAGAAGCAGTAATGAGTATTAATGTAGTCAAAAGAAAGAAATATAAAAGATTTCCCCTATTTTCTTCTTTTTCTGGTTATTAAAGCACAAATCAGACAGACCACATACCGTTAAGTATTCTGCTTTCACTCCCTTGGGATACTAATTTATTGTTTCTTTTATTTTTATTTGAACACATTACTTTAAGACATACAGGGATGTTCTGTAGTGACAAGTTAATTATGCTATTATTAGGAAAGCTATCTGCTGAAAATTACCGTAACAGAGACTTGCGGGAAAGTCCACAGGCATTTGAAACATGCCTTGCATTCATTTTCAATAGGGAACTTCTCAAGTTCCCACACAGCCTGAAATAGGGGAAAACTCCAGCCAGGAACTCATCACAAGATTCTAACAGAAATCACAGAGTCTGATGAAAGCTACACTCCTAATTTTGCTGGTCACTGATGCTCTGATTTTCCAAGATTTCAGCTGCTTTCTGGATTTTTAAACAATACATTTAAAAATAAAGATTGGCAATCTCTTTTAAGAAGACACAGTGGTTCTACAGCACTTTATCATGCATATTCATTGTATTTTCTTGCACTTGCTCTCTAAATAAAAAAAAAAAACCTCAAGCACTTGCTCTCTAAATAAAAAAAAACACTTCTCAAAATGAGGCAAAGCAATTAACAGATATTTCACTAACAAACCCTGCAGAAACGATACCTGTCAAAATCCATTTTTCATCACTCAGGATAGTTTACAAAAGAGAAACATACCATGAAAGGTATGTTTTTAAAAATGAAGTTATTTAAGACAGAAAAATCAAAACCACATGCGCACACACACACAGAGTTTAAAAATTAAAAGGTAAATAGAAAGTGGTCATTAGTGACCCAAAAAGCACACTTAGGGGTCCCACAGCAACCGTTCACAGTTAGGTATAACTAGCAATATTCTCAACATAACACTGAAAAAGTCTGAACAGTTCTATGTGATCCAAGTTTTTCCCTGCAACCACATGCCTTTGAAGTAGACTTGATATTTATTGTACCTCTTTCTCGTGATCTGAAAACCAGCTGGTGTCTTTACTGGAGCCTTGAGGCAAAATATGAACATCCACCAAAACAGCAAAGTTCCCACACTGGAGGAGAAAAAAAAAAAAAAAAAGAGAAAAAAAAAGGTTCAACTGTAGCTGCTAGGAAGCAAATATCAAGCAGAGAAGGAAGTAAACAATCAGGTAAGCATATGCATCTGATTCAGCAATACAGCAGGCATCATATAAAAGCTCATGGAAGGTTATAAAATACGGAATCAAAAATTTACCATCATTGTCTGTGGATTTAATGAGAAATAATGGTGCCAGACACATACCATGGGTAGTTAACTAAAACATTTAAACAATAAGAGCAAGCACAAGCACACTGAACTTTCTTCAACCTATAGGCCACTTCAAAATCTGAGTTCAGGCAAAATTTACCACATGAAAAATAAATTATTTCCTCACCACATCCCCATCATTATATTTTCTGATAATTTAGTACTATATTAGCTATCATAAAATCAGTAATTCTTTAAAACCTCACCCTCTTTAGAAGTCTTTTCCTCTTTCCAAGTTACCTAATAAAAGGAACAGCATGTTTGAAGAATATTCATTGGCATCTGTCATTTAGCCAATACTTTGAATGGTTAAATGATAACAAGACTAACTTGTTAATTACTGTGATATGAAATTGCTAGGATGATGCAGGCTATACCCAAGTCATGTTAATTATTTCTAAAATTCCTTAATAGGCCTTAATTGAGGACAGCAACATACAAGACTTAATTATTTCCGGTTGTCAGTGTATCGGGTGCAAACACATCTCCTTAGACCTACTGTACCCTACCAAAAGAATAATGCTTCATTTCACATGCAGAAGTACAGTACGTTGTAAGCAAAAGCATTCCCTTTCTTCTACTGTACTACAGCACCAAATCTCATTCGTCCTTGAAGTAAACAACTTGCAAGGTAAGAGCCAACATCACCATTCTCTTTTGGCTGCTTGTGCCACTGTCGTGCTGCAACAAACTGTCTTTGAGAAGACCGGACATATGTGGTCATGGCAACTGCACATCTGGAATGTCTCATGGAATAGAAACAGCATCCAGATACCAGACAAGTCTCAAATGTGTATGTACAATCCAGAGTGAGACCGGTCTCATTTCAAAGGGAGGTCGCGGCATTCATTCCTGTCCTAAGTCTCTGTATTTGCTCTACACTGCCAAACATCTGCATAGCCCGTGCTAGAACTCCAAGTGCTAACACAACTATTTCTAGAAATAATGTGGTACTTATTCTTACAGGACAGTTGAACATGACCTACAATCCGAAAGGCACGTGTACATCTTGGGCTGGTGGTATAGCAAAAGAACAGCCTTTGGGAGTCTCCTTACCTGTGTGGTTAGTACAGACAAAAAGCAACAGGATTGAAGCATGATCCTTACTAATCATGACAGCACAGCCAGTAAATTAGATATTTCTGAGATTACAAAACACTTAGGTAACTAAATTCACTTAATTATCTATGAACAGAATAATGTAAATAATTATTCAAATATTTTTAAAAATATAATGCTTGATCAATATTGTGTCATAACTAGAATGCAAGAGTTTAGCAAATGAGGCTGGCATTTTGAAATCAGTTCTAAGTTACTTATAGGTATCAGGCACTGAAAGACCAGAATGCTTTGATCTGTTTTATCAAAAGGCTTCTCTTTTCTCCAGAGACCCAAGAATTACCAGATGGCTGCAATAGCAGACCTCTCCCAGCTTTAAATTGATGGCAAAATCTCTCTCAAAAATCTCTGGTGAATCATTAGTCAGCTCCAGCAAACTTTTGAGTTGACTACTGAACATCAAAGTTAACAGCTACTGCATATTATAGGAAGAGAAGGGCAGTACGATATTCATGGTTTGGAACTTACTACAACAAACAAGTACTTGATACATAAAGAAAAATTCCGTTATCTAATGCTAGATGTTAACTTACATGATTTGGTATTGACTGCAGAAATTTTATTTACCCAATAGATACAGATACTGATGTATGTAGATATATATGCATACACATGCCAGCAAAGACACGTTTTCAGTGAGAATGTTTGTCATTTTTCCTTTGAATCGCAATATTTGTTTCATTTACCAATCTTGAAACTACTTGAAAACAGAAAATAATCATATTTCAAACAATATGCTGAAACAGTTCCAAGTTATCTTAAAACATTAGAAACTGACCAAACATTTGTAATACTTCAAAGAAAACCACATATGCGAGAGTAGTGTGTAAATTTTGGAATAGATGAGTTTTCTTAATGGAAGACTTCTATCCCTTGGAGTTTTGGAGTACTCTTCTTGTGGACACCATATCTGGAACTATGTCAACATCAAAAACCCAACTGTTTCCCCACTCAGGTAGAGGAGCTTTAGACACAAGGAATCATAACTGCCCCAGCCAAAAAGGAGTAAGGGGAGTAAAAGTATAAGCACAGATCTTGCCGGGTCTTGTTAACTGCTATTTCTCCTAAGCCCTGAATATGATACAAAGCTCCTATGCAGACGCCTTTGCACGCTGACTTTATACAAAGTACTTTGTACCCTACACCTTTATTTATACTCAACACTTCTCCATGTGATACAGCTTTACAGATGATATTTACAAGCAGCTCAATACAGTTTTGGCTGCTCCAGCAAAAAGGAAGAGTTCCCTGTACAGTCTAAATTTCAATACAAAATAACTGGAGAATGGAGAAAATGGGAAGAAAGATGTACAGTGTTTACGTTAATAGATCTGGTGTTCTTATAAAACTTTCTAAGCAATTTTTATTTTTACTCTGAAGACATAATTCCCTGAAAATACTAGCTTTTATTTTGGAGAAAATGCAGCATTTCCAGTCATTGTGGCTGCAAGAAGCAACTCACTACCCTTATGTCATGTAAACTCAAAGGCAAACTAAAAATTAAATAAAAACATTTTTTTTAATTATATTTTCAACGTATCTCAAAATTTGTAGTGGAAATGATTTTGAGATGCAGTTCTCAAAACTGAGGCCTGAACACCTGATTTTTTGAGATACACTTATGTCAAGAATCACTAGAATAACATTTTACTGTAAAATTAAAGACAGAAACAGATGTGTCAATTTGATATCCTCTATAATTCTGGAATTCAAGACTCTTCATTTTCACAAGCTGATTTTGCTGATGTTAATGTACTCACCATAACAGTCTAATATCATTCATTGTTATTAAACATAGGGTTTTAAATTGTCTCAGAATGTTGTCAGTGTACTGTTGCACAGCAATGGCATTTAATTTAGAACATATTTTCTGGAATCAAACTGTTTATACAAATACATCAAACACTTCATAGATTCTGCAAATGGAAAAGATAACCAGGCACGTAATGTAAACTGAATGAATACCAATGCAAAGTGGTAACTCTGTCAAGGAAAGCCATCTTCTCATAACCTGTTAAAACCATGGCCTGGGATAATCAGATATTAGATGGATTACAAGTAGATAAACCCAAGCAGATACTCATTGCCACGCTCATCTTCACAGTAAGACTGCTCCCTACATCAGGGCTCTTATTTCTTGAAATTGGATTGCTTTTAATAACCTAAAAACAGTCATTATAAACAAAATATTTGGGATGTATGCTGATTTTATGCTCAGCTACATCATTCCAAATGTACTCTATCGTATTAGTCCAGACAGGAACGGAGAGCCAGCCTCCCAAGACACATTAGCATTTCCCATTTCTGTAATTATTTTACAGATGTGGGCCAGAGGTCAGGATTAATTGACGCCTGGTTAAAAAGCAAACATACGGTCTTTGGCTAGCCTTTGGGAGCGAGAGGGAGGGAGCCTGGCTGCAACTGTCACACATGCTTCCCCTTTCCAGGACAGCTGCAAACATAGGTGACACCATCAGCCTAGGGCTAGCAGTTAGCCTGTGCTTTGTGCCTCTGCTTCACATCAGAGTGGTTTTTGTAGTCCCAGAAGCTCAAGGAATTTGTTACATTAATTGGTCTAGAGCAAGACAGTATCATTCCCTAAAAGCCTTGCTTTGTTTATTATCAATTTTAATTAATAGTGATTTTGAAGCGCATTTCTCAGTTCCACTTGTAGAGAAGCATGCCCTACGCAGTAAAACTTCGAATTCTCCAGGCTAAGCATACAGGGAGTCTTCCTCATCTTTTTAACTTCCCAGAAAGTTGAGGTATCTGGATACAGAGATAATTTTATTTCATATTCAGATTATGTCAGTAGTTTAAAAAATAATTAGACTAGACCCTGATGACCACCAAAACACATCGCAAGGCTGGAAATGGCTACCAAGGACATCACAGACAGAGCCTATCAACAGTCTCTAGGTGGCAAAAGCATGGCTAAGAGATATTGTGAAAATAAATGGTAAAAAGCTTGAGATTATAATCTTCTCTTATAATAACCAGAAGAATATTCTTAATGTATTCCATTCTTTCCAAATTCTTTCTAGAATCAAATGTTTCAAGTTCAATTACATCAGTTCTAAAATCTACTGTGTTAAGTATAATTAAGTATTGTACTGGTCTCTGCCAAATATATCACGGCAATATATGGATGGTATTTTCACCTTTTCCATTTTTTCTTAGAAGAAAAAGTTGTTCTCCTCCTTTACTTTTCTGACTCCAAAGGAAGTGACAAGTTTTACTTTTGTTTACACATCACCGAAAATGATTTTCAGTATTTTGACACTTTTTCTCTTCTGGAACAAGAGCAACAGACAAAAATCATTTAAGTAAGTGAGAGTACAGCACAGGCGTGTTTTTGTATTTGTCATTATATAAATGGAAGATGAATTAATTTTGTAAGTATATCAATGGGGTACTATGATTCAAACCAATATAAAGAGTTTCCCAAAGCATAGGATATACTTTCCAAGCAAATGCCTCAACCTGCACAAACACATGGCTTAGGACAGCTGTGTATGCCATCACTGCTGCTGACACCTGTATGGGAACAGAGGAGATCTGGGGACACCTGACATCAGAAATTGCAAGGCCATTCTTTGGAATGATTGAGATTTAATAAATGAAACCATTAAGTAAATATTCATC